ATATATTTTTAGTTGTCTGATTAATTTCTTTCTATTTTTAGTAGAGACGGGGTCTCGCTCTTGCTCAGGCTGGTTTTGAACTCCTGATCTCAAACAATCCGCCCGCCTCGGCCTCCCAGAGTGCTAGGATTATAGGCGTGAGCCACCGTGCCCGGCCTATAGTATTATATATTGATATATACGTATTAATGTATTTTGACTTAATCAGGTTCCTTATTCAGTCTTTATTTATCCATTCATTTGTCCATCTGTCTATCCATAAAATATTCATTAAGCACCTATGGCATTTCTTTTTCTGGTTAATCCGTTTAGGTCCTAACCATTTACCCAGGATTGATACCCAAAACACGAGCCTTTATCATCTGCATAAGTTGTTTCAAGGTAAATAATTTGAGTCCAATTGTTCATTCCTTACTGTTATTCCCTTAGAAAAATTTCAAATTTATTTGAAAATTATACACTTTTTTAGACCTAATCCTGAATCCAGAAAACATCATATATTTTATAAATACTACCAGTATGAATTCTAGAAGGAAGGCGATTTGAGGATGAACTAGTTACAACATCACTCAGACAATGAAGCCAATTGCTGAGGTTTGAATCCTCATTCCACTTACGAGTTGTGTGACTTTGTGAAAATTTCTTCATCTAACTGTATCTCAGTTTTGTCATCTATAAAATAATGAAAATTATAATAACTTCAAAGAATTATTTTGGGGAATAAATGATTTAATATATATTATATAAAGGGCTAGCACATAACAAAAATTATGGAAGTGTTGCTATTATTATGTAATATCTACTACCCTCAAGGACAATTGATTTCAGAGGGAGCATTTATTTAGTTTACTTTGACATTACATTCTGTGTTGTTCTTGTGTGTTTGCTGATACAATAAAACCAAGTTTTAAATTGGAGACAAAAGCATGATGCCTATGATGACAGGTTTTTCTATCTTCTGATACCTAAAGAGAACCATACATGTCCCCTCCTTTCTCTCCTGCCCTAACGGCTGTCATTTAGCAGTGTCATAATGTTGGCAAGATTACTTTGACTCCAAAGGGAAAAAAATCTCACAAGCAGACATCAATATATTTTTTTAAAAAATTTTGAGAAACAAAAGGTCCACGCACTAAAGCAATATGTAAGGATTTTAATGATCATATCAGAACTCCAGTTTATTGGTGAAAAG